GAAAATCAACACTAAAGGCTATTTCTAATTATTGTGGATTACGATCATTTGCTACATCGTCACTGCCAAGCCACAAAAGGCAAAAGGGGGCCGTTTAAATTGCTGGCTAATCAGACTCGCCTGTGCTGCAGTTCGTATGCCACCGTGCGCCATCTGGCGCAACGACTGACGACGGGCCCGGGCGTAAAATTTGAAGCACTTAGAACCAAATACCAATTCCCGAATTCGAACGATTCAGCCTTAGCTCAAACATTTCACAAAGGCTACTTGTATGCAGCCCGATAATCCTTCCTAACGAATTCTTGCAACGATCAAGATAATCTCGCAGCCTAAAAAGTAGAATTAGAAAAATGAACAGAGGTCTTCTGAAACGGAACATAGTACAAGATGGGGTTAATTAACTTCAGTAACTTGTAGTTCCAAATACGTACAAGAATGTATAGAACATTACGGGTTCTAAGGGATAGAGGGGCGATTTCTATGATTTTCTGTAAGAACGTTTTCTTTACGCGAAGTCCGACGACAATTTGATGAAAACGTCTAGTGTTGCTTTGGCATCATGTTAACGAGGAAGCTTCGCGTAATGATAATACAGTGCTTTTAACGTGAATGTCCTCTAAAAGGTATGTAGGCACATTGCTAAGCCTATTCAGGTCATTACCGTATTGTACATGAGGGGCCGCAAGGCAGACATGACCCTTATTACGCTGGTAGCGTAACGGACTCTCTAATTAATGAGACCGTTAATCCTAGGTAACCTTATGTAGGCTCGTAACGTTCATTGTTTCCCAAAGGGGCGCAAGAGACAGATTAGTCTATAATAAATTTCTGGACGCTGAAGTACTGTAAACAGGTAAGTGTGAATTGACAACTTTTAGAGAGTGTGGTAGACTGCCTAGACCCCAAATTAATACACTTTTGTAAGACTAGCCGAACACGTATCATGCTATGGATTAAAATTTTAACAATTACATTTTATTATTCAGTTATTTGTAACTTGTCATATATTTTAGAACGCCAGCTAGAACAAATATGAAGTACGGCTGAGTAACAGAGATCCTTCGACGACTGGCTAGCCATGGGCTAATAAAAGCATCTTCGCGATACTTAATACCGCAGTTGTCTCTCCTTTTGATTCAACGCCACTTGAGTGCTTTCTATTCTCTTGATTGGACAGGAATAGGCTTTTTGTATAGAATCCATTATTATTACCCTTGAAACGCTTTTACCTGTGCTAAGAACATCTTGGGTTTTCTTAAGTGTAATTATTTCAAGACTGCATCAATTTGCGCGCGCCTAACCAGATCCCATTTCCGGTTCCTATTTTCGGTGCTACAGCCTACATCCATCGAACCATCCAGCGAACAATCTCACATTTGGTAATTAGCTATTTGTCAACGGTGTGTTGAAATTGTGACTAGACTACAATGTCTCCTATGAACATTAGCAAAATTCTAATTACGTGTACAAAATAGATGACCAAAAGGCATTCTATTAACAAACAGTGCCGTTAGCATCTGTCCATGATAACTATGTAACTCTTGCTTGTAATACGTTATGTATGAGTACAAACGTATAGATATCAAACAAGTAACGTATGCAAGCTGATTTTCCCTCCCTGCATCTGCAGTGGACGCGGTCGGGCGCCGAGTACACCCTAATGTAAAACCGTGAGGTGTACGAGGCATACCAAGGCACAAGTGCCCTAGGTAGCTAGTAGGTATTATACTGTGTGGTGTTATCAAAAACGATGTTATCTGCCGTGTTTTATCGCCGCAGAGGGCACTGTAATTAATCTTGACTTATCACCCCATTTAGTTCAGAGCAATACACATTTGTAATCCAACCGCCAGCGATAAATAGAGTAAGGGGCACAAAAGCGAATCCATATATCTATACGTACACAATGCCAACGAAGATGAGGATGCTTTTTTTCGGAAATCGCGAAGCACTCCGACGAGTGGTTCTCGTCTATCGTATCTTGTAAACTTAAATCGTGTCGTAAACAATTCGTTTCTAATAGGGAAATAAAAGCGGTGAATAAGTTCTCGCTCGTGGAAACAGCAAAGAACCGTATTCGTAAGTCGTCCCTATCTGAAATCTCTCGGTATCATTTATCTCTGGCGGACGTATCGTTTAACAATGCGTTTTAATGGGTGTCTCCAAGCGAGCGGGTGCACTTCGTAATTGCCAGAAGGTGTTAGCTAAAGCACATATATATTTCGAAGTTAACATAATATCTGTAAAATGGTTGCTCCAAATACGCTACTATACGTTGGTCCTATCTGCGAGAACATCCATGAACAATGTCATCCCTTCCAATCTGTTGAGGTATAGTCACATAATATTTCATATTGACTGCAGAAATATGGCTCGTAAAGCTGATCACACTTTTCGACCTGTTGTTTACAATCTGTTCGTCGGGGCTACTCAGTTTCTGACGTTGTCGAAAACTGGTTGGTGGTAATCACAGTTAAGGGGGAACGGATACGCCATCCACTTCAGTACTAGTTTGCTTTGAAAGCGCCGTAAGCAAAAGTAATTTTTTTTTTTTTTTTTTTTAATGAGCCCTTTATGGTTTCGAATATTTGTATTTGGTGCTTGACTGGTCCGAAAAAATTTGTCTTCACAAGTAGGATTATTTCTTAGATCAGACTCTTCACCTCGTTCAGGTTCAGGTTCACGTATCCGAGGTGGTCCACATCGGTAAATTTCAGTATGAAAAAATCTCTATAATGCAGGCCACAGAATTATTGACCGCCTGTCAACTACTAAGCTTTGTACGGAGTACCGCTCCGTATGTCTCGCGGCCGGTAATAATCGAGATATATATATATACATATATATCGGTCCTAGCAAGCCGAAGGACTGTGAATTCTATTTGAAATTTGTCATGTTATTTTAATTTTACCATTTTCAGTACAAGTTCGATGTTCGCATGAGTGAAGATGTAGATATTAACAAAAGCTATTATAATCGAGTTGCCTAAGATGAACAAACCCCAAGAAATAAATCTTCCGTATGGTCCCTTAGTCGTGTGTTTCCTGAAGAACAAGTCTTCATTGCAATCGAGGTTACCACACTGTTTGAAATCGATAATAAATAAATGGGAAACGACAATACATCTGCTTGAACGTTACAAGTTGGAATAATAAGGAGAGAGTAAATAGTCGCCCTGAAAGTCTTTTTACTTTGGGTGATCAGTGAAGCCAAGAAAATGTTTTTTTTTTTTCTTAACAGAATTTTTGTCTATGAACACACATATAAGGTACACGGTTAAAGTTAGCTTTTGTTACGCAAACACAATTACGCAAGAAGGACCGTTCATACGCTTACGATACTTGACGAACAGAGGTGTGAATTTCAATACGGTATAAAAATGTAGCCCTTTGATTTATTTATAGTATTCACGAGTAAATAGTTCGAACATGAATGCATTGGAAATTATTTATATAATAGACAGTTTGTTTTAGCCACCTCATTGGAATGTGGGTCGAAGGCAAACATGGGGGCGATAAACAATTTGGTATGTGCATGAAGCGGAACGTTCTGAAACGCCCTTTTCCGGCGGTTATGCTTTATTTCCTGTTCAATATAAGTGAATGAGTACATTATTGAAGTGCGCAATCGTTGATGACAAAGAAGAGATGTTTTAACTAAAACAATAGGCGTAATAATTGAAGCGGAACTTCAGATTCTTGGCCAGAATGAAACTTCGGAAATTTCCTTTTTTAGTAAAAGTAGTCTTTGTGCCGATGCATGTGTCAGTGAATCTGCAGTATTTACAATATATATTCGTTGCTATGAATAATTTACCTCAGAGAAATAATAAGATAAATCATATACAATATAGGTTGAGCGTGAAAGGTCAATGAAGACACATACTTTTTTCTTATGTAAGCGATCAGGCTTCTTCTGCTTATTTCACAAATAAAATAATGAAACTGAATGAGAAAGAAACAGGGAAGATGAACTGTTCATCGAAACTCCATGAAGACTAACTAGTTAAATTGTGGATAATGTCATCAAGCTTTTATTGCGAAGGCCATTTATTCGCCCCACAGCCGCATCATCGTGACTGTGGGCTCTCGACCACTATTCTAATATCATTCTGCCATTTTCCTTGTGTTAAAAATTTATGCAATTTACGCGTTAAGGCAGCCTATAGCCTTTATATGTAGATTGGTATTGCAATAGATATGGCGGTACGGATAGTTTCGTCTATACGAAACGGAGACAGTTCAAAAGGACTGTTTGTAAAGATGCTTAGCAATGGGGACGTTTCCCACAGCTGTGTAAACTGCCCCTACTTCCCAGAGTACGTACATATGACTGGTTGGGAATTTATACAGATGATGGAGAAAAGTTATTTTTTAGAATAGGTTGTTCTTGTTGCAAAATAGCTCTAAGGCGCCGTTGTCAGACATAATGCTCTGCCGATGGAACTGGAGTAACTTTCCATCATGTATATTACCAACGTAACATATCCTTTCCTTTTCTACTGCCTGTAAAATATCCCTTTAGCAGTATCCAGGCGTCTCTTATTCATGGTAATGACAAGCTGTTATATATATATATATATAAGACGAAATCTTCAACGTTGTAGAGGCAGCATTTTCGTAGATAAAGCAAAAGTTTGTAAATGTGTAATTATATACGGAAATTTGCCAAAGCATTTACTTCTTGGTATTTGGTTCATAGTCTGAGTGGCATTTTTGAAATAAGGTCGAACGATTTTGCTGTAGTCTCTAGTTATCTGCGAGTATAAAAATCTCTCGTATTATATACTGAGGTTTTTGGTACGTGTTCCTAAGCAACCTGCAAATACGTTTTTAAAAGTAAAAGGTAAGCTGTAAAAGTGAAAAAAAAAATCATTTTTTGCTGTGAAATTTTTTCTTTTGACTTGCAGTTGTCGTTCCACTAAAGAGTAAACAAAAAAATCGAATAGTTTGTTTATTCGGTTATATATATCTCTATTTTATTTTGCTAACAAACACACCGTTTGTACGTTTTGGTCCATATTTCAGCGTCGACTGGTGATTATGCTGACAGTTGGCGTTCACTTAGCAGTTCTCTTCCTGTCTGTCGATCTATTTACGTCTGACTCTTTACGATACAGTGTCAGCTAGTTCTCTTTCTTCGTTTCCAGCTTCTGCCAATCTTCATTTGACTATAGCCGAGACGAAATGCCCACCCGGTGCTTTTTTCCCCATCTCAAGCTAGTCACCTCTGCTTGGAATACTTCTTCGCCCAAGGTGTAGCTTTACTATAAGCTTGCGAGGTGTTTGAGGTGCCGGCGAGCTTCCTCTTGTCCTCAGCAGGGGCGTTCATCGTCGTAACCCGCCGTCACTCGGGTCGGTCCTACTGCTACTGCTACTGCTACTACTAATACTGCTTTGATTTTCACGCGCCCTGATTCAATCGTCAGTGCTGTGTCCATCAGTTGTCACGTTATCCGTTTAGACTGCCAATGCATTGTGAGTGAAGCCTGCGAAGTTCGCGCAAATTTGTTGCAAAAGAGGGAAAGGCAAGTAAGCACATGGAAAATGGCCGTTTTCTTCGACTTCTCCTCGATAATTTTACTGGCAGTGACCAATTTGTCCTATAATAGCAGTTACGGACAATGTTTGCAATGATGACTAATACCGGTGGTACTTGCTCATGCCTCTATCCAATTTACTAGCTACATTATGGTAAGTTAAATAGTAGCTTACACAGTTTACATTTGTATACGTATGTATGCTATAGGAACTTGATCAGAGTGTGTTCTTAGTGTTCCTGACTGTTCAGTTGGTTGGAAAGATTTTGAATATTTTTATATAAGAGTAAACTTCATAAGCCTAATTATAACACTGAATATGATGTGAATGATGGTTTAGAAACTGTCAAAACTGCAATCAATCACATAAACAATATTTTGCAACTGATATTTTCTATAATCCCAACTTAGTTATTTCAAAGTATATATCAATGGAAAATTAAATCGTGGAGTCATAATGATTCGCAGTAAGTCATGCCGTTTTAGATATATGGGGGGCCACAATCTCTTTTTTGAAATTCCCTGACGTCGACAAACGCAGCTGTTCTTGAAAGTGTCTATATATTTAGTAAATTAACCTTGTTAGACACGCACGTATATTTAATACTGACTTTGGATACAGTTTTCCCAATTAATAAATTTAATCGTAATACGTATTCTAATTTCTTTGCATATCTATCTTCAAAGGATAGCTTCCGTCTCTACAATCTGTTCGCTTTATTTTTTTTTAAATTTAGAATAGTGAATTAGGAACCACCCCATCGTTGAGAGATCTGTCGCGAAATCAGCGTGTCGACTCAGCTTGTCAGCCCGCTCTTTAGCACACCATTATAGATAGCTCTATATATTTTCATAAAGGGATACACCGATAGAAGAATCCATGTATACCTTATATGAACGTTGTATAGCTGGCGAAAAAAGTAGGGCTTAATATTTGCTTCACATCATTTGCGAATGTACAAAATTCCGTGAGTGTAGCATATATTGCACAAGTTCTCAAGTTCAAGGACGACGACCTTAACTCTTGCTTTACCTAGACCAGTGATAAGTTTTGGAGAGTGAGTTCAACTTTCTTTCCATGTAGCATTGACGTATGTTTAGGCGTCAATGGAACGTCGTCGTGTGTCCTGTTTCTATTGTATTCCATTACTCATACGGATACTTTCGTCCTTTCGATGTTTGTGTTATTCGAACGTCTTCTGCAGCCGTTGCCGGCGGCCGCTTAGTGTACGGCGGCGGTACCATCTGCTAGCATCCAGCATCTATGCTAGTAATAACAACAGGTGCTCTTCTGAGCTATCATATTTGCTGCGAATCTTTATAAACCTTATCATTATTTCTACAACGATTTCTTCTAAGAATAGCCAATTAAATTTAAAAAAAGGTAATAGCCCTCAAATAGGTTAGCTTGCGGAAAAACCCAATGCCACTGCAACGTTGCGTAAAGCAGCAAACAGCGAAATAAAAACGTATGCTAGAGTTTGTCCATTACATTAACGGGATTTCGCGTGGTTATAATTTTCCATAGATTATAAGCTTTAAAAGAAAATTGGTTCTTTTTTTTGCTCATACTTTTGTGAGGTTAGCGTTTCCTGGGGTTTTTTCTAACGAAAACCCCAGACAGTTAATATTGGGCCACTTGATATTGCGAAAAATTTGGAAACTACAAAATGCCTAGTAAATAGGCTTCATCATTCAAGGCGTCGGTTTGGAAGCTGTAAACGTAGCTAAAATAGACTGCAATCTCTAGGGTTTTTCTTAGCCAACGATAGTGGACTCGGTTGCCTAAAAATTTCTTTAGATCAGAGATTTTGAAGTAGTTGCATGGTCTCAGTTTTCATATGGACAAAACACAGGTATGAATCTATTCGTTTTTAAAAATAAAGTACGTCAAAGGTTTTATTATATTAATTTTTGTAGTTTTCGAAGCCCCTTTAGCATGAGTGAAATTTTTAATTAAGTCAGTGGTATGGAGTTCGCAACAACAAACTGAATAAACATTTTAAATACGTAAATGATTGTTAAACAAAGGCCGTCCGTTGATAAAATTAATTGGCATGGATATTACATTTAATAGCCGTCAGTAAATAAGCAAGATCTTTCTGATACTAGGCACTCAGGTAGCGAAATATAGGTTAGATAACTAAAGGCACGAAGGAGATAACTTAGCATGAAGTCCTGAACTGACACACCGAGCTAGAAATTTATGAAAGCTTTAAATATACATCGGCTAAAATTGGCTTTCTTTGTTTTTAGCGTTACGTAGAGGTTGCTAAAGAGTTAAGTATGAAAAACTTGAATTAAAATTGCACCTGCGAAGTGACAGCCTCATTCTGATCGATGCACGCGTGACAAATTCTGCATATGCCCTGCTTATACATAGCTTCCACGAGACGAGGCTTGCAATTCATGCTGTCGTTCGATTGACTCGTGCCGATAAAACTTATAAAGAAATAAGTGATGTAAGAACTGATAGTGGGCAACTTGAATACGCAAATGATAGAAAAAATCGCTATTCTGCGAAAGTTACCCATCCTTGTTAAAGAGACACCTCGACAGATTGAACGTTTCCTGGATAATCGACTAATAATCATTCAGTTTTAAATGAATTGGCGGTCTTAGGTGAGGTACTGAACACCGAGAGCAATTATTTTTAAATGTGTGTCATGAAAAAAATGCTCTGTTACATATGGTTCATACAGTCTATATAATCATTCTGTTGAATGCAAGCAATCTATGTATCTTTGAATTTCTCAGTCGATTGTTGTTTTAATATATCGAGCTAGCCATATTAGCTATTTTAGAGCTGTGTTGGTTAACAACAATTAAGTTGATCCTATCAACTTAATTGTTTTTAAATTAAATCAAGGACGTGTTATAACAGAAACACTCCAACAAGCTTACTGGCAACAGGAAATTATCTCTCAAACTTTAAATTTGTCTATCTGTTCGCACTTACCAGTTTACTATGGGAATTTGTAACAGTTGATTCCAGAAAGATATTGCTTTTTCCGTTTGACTTCTGTTTCTCCATAAGAGCACGATGAACATTCTACGTTGAACGGTTAGTATTATTGGTGATCTTGCTACGCGGCTTATCAGCAGTTCTAGAGCAATCCTGCCTATCGCTCTTGATGATTTTAAGGAGATAACTGAGCATACGGCACTGTCATGAAGTTGGGCAGTTTCTCAGTCGGCCATCTCCCTCGAATATCACCTTTCACTCTCCTCTAACTGAGCCTGCGGGCCTTGATGCACTTGCTTGACCGTTCCGTGGCTCGCCTCGTTGTCTTCCATTAGGGTTGAACTTGGTTCAAAAGGAGGTCAGACGAACCTAACAGTTTCTAAGCGTATATACACACCTACACATAGCATTGTAGTATATTTGAAGCATACTCCTCCACCTGAGATGCTGATTATAGCCTGCGGGCTCTGAATAATAATAATAACAGCAAGACCCTTTAATTATCGTCAGCTCAACCTTGCGTAAGAGCAGACCGCGGCGAGTTACGCATATTTTGTTCCCGTTGGTGCCCCCTTGTCCGTAATAGTGGTGGTGGCGATGACAGTGGTGAACAGAAGACATCAAGGGGAGGTTCAGTTGAGGATCCGTTGAAGAAAAGCTTCTGACGGTGGAAATCCCAGATGTTGGCTGGGTTGAAGCCTGTCGTACGTTTAATTCGCTATGCTTAGAATGCGAGGTATATTTAATGCAGAGGGGCGAAGAGGCCTGCTTGAAAAAGGACTATGTTTAGCATGAAAATGGGCAGGAATTACGTTGCTTTCTTACAGAACATGCTCATTCGCGAACGGCTACCGCGCAAACAAGCGAGTATCGGTTCCATTTGCCACAGCTGGGAATGTTCCAAATGAACCACAAAGAGCATTTAGTAGTGATGAGATGTCTTAGCGATCCCCAGCATGCTTACAGTATGTTAAAGATTTTGATACAATTTAGAACAAAGCGACCACCATGATTGGATTATGAACTTCCACCGAAACCAGTTTAATTATATATGTTATTAAGCTTTCTCAGAACCGTTCGTCAAGGAAGGTGACCTTGAACAATTTCTGAAATTACGAAATTTCATATTAAAAGATACCTGCGCATTGTATATGTGATAATATTTAATGTGTGAGACGCTGTGCTGTAACATAATGTTCGATTGAAATGCTGACAAATATCGACAATTTTTATCTTTTAGCTAACTAACTTAAAGCCCTCTAGCAAGGATATAAAATGCTAAAAGCAAATAATAGTACGGAATTCAATTATGCCAATTTTTCGATTTGAGGCAGCCGTTGAAAAATGGTATGTCTGGTTAATCTCTTTCAGCACAAAGTAGTATCCTCGTCGTCCGGCGTGCATAAAGGCTATTATAGACTATTTGAGGTCTCTCAAAGGCTTTTGTCAATTATTCCCGCAGGCGCCCTTTATACAGGCGTCAAGAGGCGATGCTCTGGCCAGCATAGACTTGTCTACGACACGTGACGTCCCTAAAGTCGAAGCTGTGTGCCATACGCCCCTGACAATCCGCGCCTTTCAGACTTCAACTTCACCAATTGAATACACAGAGTTTTCTTCCTCAGTTTCTGCAGAAAGCGCATCCAAAGGAAATTAACACTTGTGCCACGGACCTGGCTGGTTGTTAAGCAATATAGATCACGTTTATTCAAAAAGGGATGTAATAAGCATGATATAAGCAGTGGCATAGAAATTACGGTACTTGAAAGGGGTTCACATATTGAAAACTATAAGTTGTATACAATTGTACCGTCCCCTTTTGCAATCATTGGCATTGTAAAGTGACTCAGGGAAACAGCCGGGTTTCATTTGTGCTTAGGTCGAATGAATGAACTGATAATTTCAAAGAATAGTTTTCAATTATTTTTCTGCTGTAAAAACGTTTGACCCTGGCCACGTAGCGTACATCTCAGAAATAAATAGTTACAGCTCTTCTCACTTCGTTGTAGCAAGTAGGGTCATTCAGTTCTTCGAGGCCTATTTTAGGGTCACATTTTTAAACAGAGGTGCGCAGTAGCAGTCGTGGCCTGCGACTAAAACCATCAGCAGATGTCACAAAATACCAGAACTCTTGATTTTTTTAAATCTATGTCTCACCTTACGATCCGTTTGCGAACGTAAACGTTTGCGCCTAAGTAGGAAAATGCGGCTCTACATATATAAAAAAATATAGGTTTCTATATACAAAATTGCCAAAAATTAAACAATTTACCCCTTTAGCAATAGCAGACGTCCCCACAACTTGAGAACCGCTAGCTTGATGGGAGAGAGACCGCGGGCTACAAGAATCACTTTATAAATGTTTGATACATTGTCTTGGCTCACTTGAAGTCCCGGAATTTGTGCCGATTGACATACAGATCGAACAGCTGATGCAGTATTGCTATAGATTTCGCCAAACTGATCGTCCGTACCTGATTACGTTTCAAATACAGTTTCTTTTTTCATAAGCTATAAGTTGATCCTGCTAAAGGACGGCTGCAGACTAGTCTATTCCGCATTCGTGATGAGCTCTAACAAAACGGAACAGCTAGTCGTACGTGAATAATTGTTTATCGCATAGGTAATGAATTAGGCAAACTGTACCAATAAAAACATTCAGGCGATCTATTGAATATAGACGTGTTCAAAATAACGCGTTGACGTGCGTAACCCCCATCGACGCTTGGCTGAGAGGCGATATTGTCGAGTCGTCCAGACGTTAAACGGCACATGAAACGACCTTTTCGGCCATTGCTACCACCGACTCTTAGGAAGACGAGACATAATAAATAGGCTTTGTAACAGCTGTATTTTTGCAGTCGTGACTAAACGTTCTGTATTCTAATTAGCATTAGTTTATTTTTAGTTGCGAGCTACAAGCACGCTTTTCAGGAATACGAACGATTGCTCCTAGATATTACTTGTTGGCCAGTCGTCCAGCTCGGCCAAGTGATTTCAAAGCTAATTACTTTACGCAGGACAACGATGGTGTTTAGGATTACGTAAACTATTAGGTTCAAGCCACAATGAACGAAGAATCAATCTTAAAGTTGAAGTGAGATTGCGTCCTTCGTCAACTTGAAATTAATGTGTCTGTGAAGAGAAATTTGCAACTATTCGTCAGAAACAATAGGTCGCCTGTGTAACAGCAAAAGCAATTAATAGTTTTATTACGGAAATTCCAACATCGCATATACGCCAGTCTGCAAAGCGTCGTCAAGACCACCTCGAATAAGATAAGGCCTGCTCTAATCAGCTGCAGTCTTACAAATACATTGTGTAATTGCTTTTTTTTTTTCTAAATTCGCTTAGAGCTTCCCGTTTGATGTCTTTCGAGGGAAATATTCTCCCATTCATAGTGCCCTTTCAAAGCTTGTTTCACCTCGCCAACATCTGACCGTTTCTGCCGACTGACTTACACCAGTCAGCCAAACTTCGTACAGTTAAGTTGAATAGTACCTATTTGGTACACTGTTTGTTTTTTTCTTGGTGACACATATTAACTATCCAAACACGCAATTTAAATGGGTGACTTTTTTTCGAAACCAACATGTAACACAAATAGAACACCTGATTAGCTTACTAATGTCCTTATTTAGAGTTTGCATCAATCACTACGACCCATTATTGCGTTATATTAAGTAAAGGGCTCAGCTTGCTTGTTATACGTATAGGCGAAGCGTCCCTCGTTCCTGCAGATTGCTTCCTTTCCCATCACTGTTTTGATAATATCTATTTTAGATAGTCAGTCGTATACGTATTGGTGAATCTCATTTCTATATATAAACTGCTAGTGGAACAAGCCATTCCGGACAGGTGCAGTCAGCTTAAATACAGTTTGACTAATCGTTGCGCCTTTAATAATACATATTAAAAGCAGAGACCCGACGTCATCGCAGACGGAGTCACCGAGCGTAAGTAGCCTCAAACACAGGACTAGAAAAACAGACACAATGGAAATAGGTAACCCTTTTCTCACCTATGAGACTGACGGTAAATTTAGATCTCTCTATTTCTCTTCCCATTGAATTTTTGTTTCCCCACAGCTTATCTGGCCTCTAGAATAACGTGGGAACTAGATGTATGAATGTGCATGTTAGTAGGTACTGCAAGCTAAGTGAGTTTGGATGGCAGTAACTTCGATACCGAATAGGATTCTATATTTCCGCTCAATTTGCCAACACTTTCAAACACAGACTCTCCGCTATTCCTCCTCGAGGGAGCGACGGCTGGGCCATCGCGATTCCGTTCCCGTTACAAGCAGGCCAACAGCCTGCTAGCTGCTGGCAGAGGAAGCTGAACTCAAGCGCCCACTGCCACCCCGTAGTGCGTAGTGGTTCCGCTGCACGTGTCTGTGTCGGCTCGCCGGCAAGATTGATGGAACTTAACGACCGCTGGCTCTCATTTGTTTCGAACAACCCTTTCGTGTCCGTACAAGTCCGATTTGGTGGGCGAGAACTTGTCTACGTCTGGGATGTGAGGGGGCGAGGGCAGGGGACTTCAGCTAGGCGAGTCAACTCTGTACTCTGTGTTACATTGCGCACTGATAATGCTGACTTCTTGTGCATTTTGTGTCTATACCCACTCCTTTCCCACGTCCATTCCCCCGTTTTACTCAACTGCGATTACTCTCTTGGTAACTGCTTCTTTCGATCTAATCGATCCCAAAGAAACAGTTGTACAGCGGAAAAATTGTGTCATTAGCATACACATATATCGATATATTGATGTATATGTAAAGAACGGATTCATGGAGATAATTAAACAAGAACATTTTCTTATGTCTTGACTCTGTCTCGTAATAACTTATGAAAAATCACCAAACAGATAAAGGACCTCCGTAACTTTTCCTTAATGATATTGCGTCTTTTGCATAGCGAATATGCACTGAATATTGAAGCTGGAATTGTCGTTACGACGACGCTCGCTTTGAGTAACGTACAAAATAGAAAAATCAAATTAAAGCACGCTTTAACATGATGCTGTCCGTTTAAATTCAAGTTCGAATTAGAGATTAAGTGTTTCATTAAAGAACTTCGCAGTTAGTAGAGCCTTTAAAATGAAAAGCACCTGCGTTTATTTGAACAAGGTCTTGTCTTGAACTTGCCGTCAATTTGCGTACCAACCTAGCATCAGCCTACGACGTCGTGCCTACTTCGCTTCGAAGGCATGTTTTTTTTCCGTCGAGTTTTGTTTGCCGAAATTTTCGTTGGCTTCCTTTCTTCATTTTCGAAATTCATCCGGGCGTACTCATAGCGTGCGTTGAATTGTTCTGTAGACTCAGATTATCCTGTAGTGTCTTTAGCTGACTAATCCTTCGAGAATGCCACCATCCAGTTTCCAGAGCCTAGGGGATGCACAACCCTGTTCATCGAATTCCGAAGGTGGGCGGAGCGTTTCATTTCGTACATTCTTGCAGATATATGTGTGTCCTTTTTTCGTGTCGTTTTGTATAGAGTCTCTTTTACGTTACATCTCTTTTGCGGATAGCTGAGTATATAGAAGTTAGGCGCTTACATAAGTGACAGGAAATCTTTTAACAAGGACATAAGAAGTTAGTAGTTTTCAGGTGTAAAGGTTAGGCACCTTATGCTAACATTCATAGTAATAGTAATAATGGACACATTGAATCACCTCTGTGTTCTCTTGCGCTTGTTATTGCTGACGCTATTGATATGGGCCTTGTTTCTTTCCATATAACGACAATTATCTTTGCGCACACCGATTTCGTAGTACTTTAAGTATCACGTATTTCGCTGTGTGTTAGATCAGTTCTAGATAAATCAACGGCACCGTTTGATACGTGTAGAAGTTGCAATCCTGCGAGAGCATTTTTTTTCAATTCCACTGACAGCTACGTGAAAATTAGATATCGCTCGTTGGCACAACAGAAAGCTAGCTCTTCTGTGTGTTAATTAATAAGCTAGTATTTCGAATTGCCAAATAACCTGGAATATGATAAATGGCCAGATTAGCCACAGCTGGCGGCATATGAATTCTCATGATACGGGGGGTCGGATAGATTTTCCTAACCAACACATGTGGCGTCCGGGGCACAAAGGTAGCCATAGCAAGAAACCCCCCATCAGAATAAAATAGAACTGAAATGAGGATTTACGAGGGGCTTATATCTTATTTTCTACCGGCAAGCATACCAGCTGCGAGCCACATAAAGATGTGGCATCTTTGCTGTTAATTAACGAGGTTAATTGCACTCTAATAGTTGTTGTCGTATAATTATCGACTGCAGTACGGGATAGGTGGGTGCCGGAATATGGGACTGTTGGGCAGGCACTATGCATACGCGTATCAGCACCAGACAGTAAAACGGTTTACAGAGAAGGTTATTAGGGGTGATGATTGATGGCGGAAAAATCGAACGGATACGCGACTGTCATTTCGTAATCGTACGACGATGCTCACAGCAGCTTAGTAGGCGTTCGAGTAAGCGTTTAATCCTTTCAAATGCGAAACATCTATTGTTAGATCAACACAGGGCGAGTTATAAACTAGTGTGTAGCAAAGCGCAGCCATAAATAACTCACAGGTAAAACCAAGCACATCTAAGCTCATTATGGCTAGTTTAAATTTGTTTTTAAAGCGTAATTGCTAAATCGAGATACGTACTTGTCTCTGTGTTACCTGAGTCGAGATCATATCTTGTTGACCTACAAGGGTGTCAACGTCTGCGGATACTGCATCGTTAGATCAGTTTATAACCTGGGTTGACCAATTCGAAATCTTACTCAAGCACTACCACAGCCATATTAGCCACCGGTTGTAAGGTAACTGTATGTTTGTTCTTTTCTAGAAAACTCGTTAGTCGTCTGTTTAAACAAACAAGCGAACCGACACCCGAACAATCAAATACACAGATGCACAGCCAAATAAACGTGTAGATAGAAAATGTTTACCTCTAGCTCTGCGTTCTGCCCGTAATTACTTTGCTCATGGCAAACTGCTCGACCCGACTCAATGGCGACACTGGCTTGCAACAATGTGCTTATGTTGAATTTTCCCTCAGCGACGATGCTAACAAAACACACGGCGAAAAACAATTTAAGTTTGCGAGCATTTTCCGCTAGAGGATTCTACTGAGGCCACTAGTTTCAACGGGTCTACAAGCAAATCGATTGCATTTTCGCTTGTACTACAGCGAAACCTGTCTTCTTAAGTAAAATGTCTTAACCCAGTTATAAAAGTATTAGATGAATCACACTGAGCTGAAAAATCGTGGTTTTCAGTACCATTTTTCTGTAGGCCGATTTATTTACTCCATTTTCAAATATAGGGTCAAGGGAATTTCCGATACATAATGGGGGGCTATTATTAGGGTTGATCTGTATCAGAAGCGGTGTTTTTAAATTGAACAGGACGCAGTTCCTATATGGATACGCTAAGCATTAAACTGCGCCAGTTTTCTGTTCAGCTTTTGATTTGTTTTAGACTAATCATAAAGCTAAGCATCAATTTATTTTCTAAGTATACGGTTCTAATATCAAATGTTAAAATATGTACATTCGCCTTTTAAAGCTAAATTTGCAAGTGCTTCCTTATCTGTGAATTGTAGGTGAGGTGAGACTCGTCCTAGACAAGCTTCGACATGTTTTTCTATGTTGTGAACGTGTTGAACGTGATCCACTTCGGTAACATAAGGCCTCAGGGATGCCGGTCGAACACTTAAACGTGACAAGGCCTTAGTGGCCACGTCCCATTCGCTCCCATCAGGGCGTTCGTACGTTGCCACGATAACCAGGCCACCACTGGGACAGTTATGGCAAATGAGTGGAGAATGGACGGAAAACGGACGCGAAGGGCAAGTGACGCCACTTACCTTGGGATGAGTGTTGCTGGGTGCGAATCGGTTAGTTCACATTTGTAGAAAATGGCCTTGTGAAAGAGCCGGAAGGAGGAAAAGCTGCCTGTCGCACGTGACGTCCGACGTGCCGCAGGGATGTGGCGACGATTAATGCCAACGGCTGACGCGACCCTAAGCCAAGCCACGATGTCGCTACAAAGGTATCCTAGTTGCTTCTGACGATTTCTCAAACTGCGCAGCATACGTAGGCCCGCCACTCTTAAGCCACTGGAAAAATGATGGTGTCTTGAGAATCGTTAAGAAGCTGGTCAATATAAAAAAGGAACTATACAACGTTACTTTCGTATTGGTTTCATATGCTTGTGAATCTAAATGCGTGTGGAAGGGGTCTGTCATACACAGTTCGTGATAAAACGAGTTAATCATCAGGGGTACGAGGCCATGAAACAACTAGGTGCATGCAATTTTCATCATGTTATGGTAACTTTTATTATTCTGTATCGCCAAACATTTTGTCCTGATTTTACTCCTAGAGGCAAGCTAAATTTCGAGTCTAGTTAATCACTTTGAGGTCAGGTTTGCAAGTAGATTTTTCTTCTCTAATTATATGTTTAAGGTTTAATGGAATAGAGCGTTGGATAGGCTGCATTTGATTTTAAATCCGCAACCAAAGGGCCGTCACCACATTTATAAAATCCGTATGCACGCCAGGAGTAGTCAAATCGACTATTAGTTTTAACTTAGTCAGTTAGGAATAATACCTGCCACAAATCATTGGCTCGAGTGCTAAACTTACCGACACTTCTTGTATACCTATCCTTACCGTATCCAATCAAGACGACCGATCCTTGATAACGCTGTCGTTTTTGTAATTAAATATAGATATTCAATGGTATTCGAATGGTGTAAATTTTAGATGTCAACTTCATAACGTTTAAATTTGTTTTTCCTAAACAACTTGCTAACAACCAAATCGACAGATGACAGTGGCTTTCGTGTTAATGAACGTGGATTATTTTTTATCCGTTATAGAAACTGGATAGTTTGTTTCGAGTTTAGAAACGCGATACTATGTTAACAGGTTCGACTCTAATACACTGCAGACCTGTTGTCTTTTTTTATAGATCATTTACTTATGTAATCATTAGCTACAAACTGGTTCATAGTTTATTTTTCCCTCAACATATTTCGTTTGTTTCTCTCGGTCTGGTTGGCTCCGTGCCCATTTCTGGGTATAGCACATGATAGATAGAACAAACCGGCTTTCCGTCGTAGCCCAATGGCTTAGGCTAGCGCGAGCGTCTACTGGAACTGAGCGAATCCATCTGCATATTACTTGTGTGCCCATACTCTCAAATGTATGCGCGGATAAAGAACCATGGAGACTTAAGGGGTTTCAGCCGCCGAAAGAAGAAGTGATCTAAAGACGAGACGTTCGGGAATGCGGGAAAACGGGGCTGTTGGAGAGGGGGGAGTAACGTAATCGCTCTCCAGATCCTCGTTACAGAAGCGGCGACGACGAGCAGGAAAGGGTAGAGGATAAAATAGTCCCTCTCTGTTAGCTAAGAGCAGAGATATAGGCTCCTGTGTGCAGTACATCTCCATAGTGCCACTCGTACGCTTTGGCTATACGTTTGTGCAGTCCCTTATTATTAGTTTCAAGATCGGAAAGAAAGCACGGGAAATTTTCTGAAAGCATTTGACAATTCCAAAGTATAATAAAACGACTTTTGCGACGATGGCCAAGTTCAATATAGTCAGTAATGTAGGCAATTGGCACACAGAATATAACTACAAGAATGTGGCTTTTTAAATTTCTTTAAAATCAACTTACTGCTTTAGATTTGCTTTAAGGTATCAACGGACACAGCAGTACCCAGTAGTTAGTAGAAGGTAACTAGAGATCGGGCTTCGGATGTGGGAATGCGCAGCTAGGCTTGTAATAGGCGAGTTACGGATCGATCTTTGCGAGACACACCATCCGGTTTCATTGGCTGACTTGACCATAATGTAGTTCAAAACGTTTTCGGTACTGTAATTGTACTGACAGTTATTTCGGTGGCAGACATTACGGCTGCTACTCGTGTCATGACAATCGCGATAAATATCGAAGCGCCAGACTTACGTAGACCAGCTATTAAAGTGATCGCTGCAATGATGAACGCGCATGCGTGATACGCCAAAACTAATTATCCTGACTCATAAATGTGCAAAAGAGATTCGCTGGCTTGTAGCTCAACAGCAGCCTTGCTCTGTTTCATATTTGTCTGACCGCTGTTCATAGGCAAGGTTGGAAGGAGTATAATAGTAAACTTGACCTATATGCATTCTGCTCGGATAGTATAGATAGTAGCTCGGATAGCTAATTTAGTTGAAAATCGTAGAGGTTGCTCGTTTGATCCGATCTGTATAAAATCAAGAAGAAACGGAAAGCCCTAAATGTTCGCTTAAACTGCGTATGTAAAGGATCCGATCAAGATTACGATGATGAATTAGAATTTGCAAGCACCCAGTGACTCCACCTATTTGTCTTTTGGCCACCTATTTGGTATATTTATTTGTCTTTGTTTGACAATTCGAAGACGTTAAGCCTCTAAGTTACTTGTTACCTCTAAGTTACCTTACTTGTTATAGCGCTTAGGGGTTATTCTGCAGAAATTAACAGTAGATATTATAATGTAACATTGGTGCAAAGTTGCTTAAATTCCGTTGTTGGACATCACCGTAGTGGAGAAATAAATTAAAAACTAGTTAAAGCCCGCCGCATCTACAAATGTCATTAGCAATTTTTGCAAGTGGATGTTGAGTAAATGTAACCACTAGCGGTGTCATCCGCTGCTCAACGTGTGATTCAAGCCTACGAATAGACACAGCGTCTTCAAACGTCTGAGCCCTATAAATGGTAAACCCGATAAGGTACTTCACTAATACAGGACTAACATTTGGCTTTGTTCGGCACGTTTCTGTCGCCCGTATTTTCCAATGATTATCATTTTGTCTTCCCGCTCTGCATTGCTCAAGTTGATTTCAAATACATGGGAAGGTATATTTCGATAAGTCAGTTCACTATCTAAGAGATTGTCAGAGAATCGGCTAACCAGACACAGGTCAGCGAAACATAATCTAGTGCGAGTTTGGAGATATGCGTTTTTACGCTGTCATCACGACCGCAAACGGGCTTACTCAACGTTTGTTCGACGCACACAGCGTAACCTCATACGCCAGAATTGTTTTTTTGCGGTAAGATGTATTTGAAATGAGACAAAAACTGTTCGATTGGTCCAAAGGTTTTACTGGACCTGGGTCCAGTAAAATCGGTATCGATCAACAAAAGTAGCCTGCAAAAATATCTTGACATCTTGGTCAGTATTTGTTGAGGTAGTAATTTTGTTAAGTGAATAATATTACAGACGAACACGCTCATTTAAATAGGGGTAGTGCAGGCTACAGAGAGACAAGCTTTCTGTTTTTCGGGTTGCATACAGATAGAACGCTCAATCTTACTATATATATATATATATATATCGCTTTGTTATTGACGTTGTTTTCGAAAGCATCGTTACAGGGTGTTCTAATAACCGGTTTAACTTAAGTAAGGTCAGTGTCATTGACTTTTGATATTAGGAAACGTAAGTAATATGGTGATAATGATGATAGTAATAATAACGGTACACTATTAAAATCCCGAAAAAGCCAATATGACTTTTTAAAACAGATCATGGTATATATATATATCATCAAACGATTTCTCCCCCGTGAATATATTTATCATTAAGAATCATTTTTAGTTACGACTTGCCACAAGCAGTAATGAGGCTGGTTATAAGCTGATGGTACATGGTTGCTAAGACGCAGAATAGAATTGTAAATCGATCTACAATATTATAGGCCGGTACTAAACAGGTCCAATATCTTCACTTGTAAATAGAAAGTATCTGCCGCGCGTACCTGAACTAATTAGACCGAGAAAAGGCATAAGAGCGCATTTTGCGTATCGTATCATCAGATGGACACATCTTTATTACTCGACAGTAACGTAAGTACTTCGGATGGAGACATAGCGTTTTTGTGAACGAATAATTAGTTCTATTTGCTCGTCAGAATGAGCCTTGCAATTCTCTTAGAGCAAACCTACCTCAGTCCTGTGTTACGCTGCAGAATGGGTGCATACGCCGCACGCAAGTTGCCTAATGTCTGCCATAAAGATCCGTCCGGGGGAAAGACTTTCGGCTGTCATTACTTCTGATCCTTGTCGATCGCTCCTTGCAATGCCATCTTGACACTTCGTCTATCCTTCGCTGTGAAGGCCAGCCGAATTAGAGAGGACGAGAGATCAAACGTCAGCACCGCTAATGCATTTCCCATGTTAACTTGTCATTGTGAAGGGGGTCCCAAATCGGTCCGTCTACGTCCGCACAGAGCGCTCGTCGACAGGCGTCGTAGATCCAGTAGTGTCGGCTCGTGTCACGCTCGTTCCTTGGTTGGGCATGAAACGCCGTCACGGAAGAAAAGAACGAGAAAGAGAGAGACGATGCGAAACCCTTTCACGTCGTCTGCATAAATAACGCAGTGACTGCCATCACGCGGACCTGTTTGGATCTGTCCAAATGAATCATGAAAATATGCTGGATGCTTTCCGCGGCTACTAGCGCTAGTGAAGGATACGTAATAGGCAAAAAATAGTGTTGTTCAAAATCTGACCAAAGAGAAGGATAGTTGAACAATAGACGTTTGTTGCAAACTACATGGTGCTTCATGCAGCTGGGTGCGTATATAGAAGCAGTATAATTTAGATCTCGTTTTCAAAAATGATGTCCTTGGCTAAAAACGGTGGAAGCGATATTTGAAAACGTACCATATAATCAATAAATTCTACCGAAAGTTTCAGTCGGTGCCATACAGCTTCTTGCTGTCGAGTCGTCAAAAAAGTACCGACCCTTTTTCTAGTTAGTTAGCTAGTTAGTTAGTTAGCTCTAAAGTCACATATACTAGGTAATATGAGTTGCGTCAGCGTTGAGAAGCTGGTACTTGGGTACAAGTAAATGTCTTGATTCAGGATCAAGATAAAGCGCTTTAAAAATGAGTGAAAAATGTTCTATGCTACACAGCTTTATTACGATTGACGCAAAAGTGCTATCCAACCCATGAGAAAGAGTCAAAGTTCGTTATAGCACAAGGATGGTTCTGTCATTTTCTTTCTGTAAATTCGATATGAAGGGTGCTTTTCGCAGTTGTCGACCGATTAGGAAAAAAATTATTGCGAAGCTTAAGCAAGGTGCAAACTGTGCTTCACAATCTGTGTCAAAGCCCAGACTGACTTTTGAGAGAATCGTTATATGTTTGGTGTGAATGGAAGAGATAATCATGCTCTATGGGCCGCTGGCGCTTGGCAAAACGATTGAAGACAGTCACTGACTAACGGCGTTACAACAAGCCATTGAAGAAAACCGATTGAAGTTAGTGAACAGAATCGACGTCGTCTTCGACCATGGCAATGCCAGACCACATTCATTATCTAGACGACAAAAATTGAAAGAACTTAAATTCTCTCAATTTTTGTCCCGCTAAGTAGTCTAAATCTTGTACCGTGCGACTATAATCTGTTTCGGTCTTTTTCAGAACTTTCTTAATGGTTTAATGTTAATAATTCAATTTCAATCGAAAGGTATGCCTTAGTAATTTAGCTTCAATCGAGAGGTGCGAAAATCACTTGTTACAGTTTATCACGCAGAAACTAGAAAAGCTCTACAATTATGAACCTATAGCGTTATCAGCGAAATCAGCAGAAGGCCATCGATTAACATGGCGCATATTTAGCTTGGTAATATACCTTGAAAGTATTAGCTTCAATTTTGACTTCAAAACGTTCAGTACTCTCTTGACAAGCCAGTAGACGTACAGCTCTGCAAGAATATAATCTTTTCATTTCTTATTTAATGTATCTATTGCCCGTGATCTGCTTTAACAGAATAAATCCACGATTTAGCCTGCAGCCGTGCCAGCAAGCAGGTAAATCTTAACGTTTACATCGCACTACTTGTACCGCAAGTCGCTATATACTCAACACATACACGTATCGTCTAAAGATGGTGAAACTCAGTAGTTCACAGTGCGTACAGGGGGTGTCCAACTCATGTAAAGAGCTACAGACCATACTTTCCTTGACAGCATACCGAGACATTATATAATTGCGAGCATGCCTTGGTAAATGCCTCCTATCCTATTCTATGCACTGGAGCATCTGACCATGTCACGAATCTCACTTTAGTCGTAGGAATCTCTCGCAAAACATTCCTTCACACTTCAACATCCGAAACATGTTAGTTGCGGTTCTCAGCTTTATACAGATGATACGATACCTCTATGTAGCAATAACTACAATCACAACGAACGCGACTACTTCTCGATGTAGCTCGACGAAGAATTGGTAGCCACATCAGCACTCATATACGGGAAAAGTGCCAGCAAAATAAGACCTCAAGCACGGAGGGCGTTGCAACTGGGGAAGAGAACCCCAACGGGAGGGCGAGGAGCTCTGTGTACTACATTCGCGGAGGTGCAGCATACTACGGTAACACTAGGATCCTGTAGTTGTTTCGTCTTCACAGTTTCGTTTCTATCGGGTACCGCAAGCGCTTGCTTGTATATATATCGTATGCCTGTCTGCGTGTCCGCTAACTCAAAGCGGTCTCTGGAGGCTTCCGGAAATAGTAGCCATCTTCGCCTGTTGATGCTTCCGGCAGCGATCCTTTCGCGATCGCAAAGTTGTCGCCGTGTCTACCTGGTTCTTCCTAATAATATAAGTGGTGACCGTTGTAATAGTTATATTATCGTCAAGCTTCCCCTAAGTAATGCGATTTATATGTGTATTACGCAGTAATATGATAAAGCAGCCATGCATGGCTGGAGACCATTAGGATAGCAAACGACATTAACTTTTATCATTAGTTATGTAAATAGATTAAAAAACGAATCTCCGGGATAATTAGGTGGACGCGTTTAATCTTTGTTCATGGATCGATGTTTTTTAATGGTGATTCAAATGAACTCAATTACTTATTTTAGACATAAAAGAGCAGTTTAATACGGTACTAACTAAACGCAATAGTCGACCAAGTCAAAACGACATACCTGCATAATCATCAAACTGTCCTAGATTTATTTTGAGAGTTAGTGGAGTAAAAGTACGGCTGAAACGAGGATTTTGCTTTGCGTATGACTGCCACCACTGGACGTGCATGCAAGATATTGTAATTTCTTTATTTACCACCACTACACCCTACAGGAAGTGACCGCTCCTCACCCCGAAGAGGCTATATAAAAATTCAGCCTCCCCAAGTCTTCGTGCTTCTGTTTTAGATGGCAGTTTATGAGGAATTGTGTACTATGGCTAACGTCCCACCTCATTCCGATCCTGTGTTTTGTGTATAGAATTTTCAACGAGCGATAGGCAGAAATATGGATGCATCGCAATATAGAAAGGAGTCCAGAGATTGAGGTGAGGTCGTTTAAACAGAAAACTCTTGAAACATTGCACGTGTCGCGCACGCGTCATGAAGACCTTAAGTTACTGACAACTTTTTTTCGATCTGCTTCAGAAGATGTTTCAACACCCCTATTAATAAATACTTTCATTAAACTTAAGCCTTGCCAAAAAATAAGATTCTATCTATCCTGTTTACTTCATGGAGTGTATGCTGTAATTATTTTGATGTTATGTACTATGCACTGAAAAACTAAAATATTTGTCTCAATTGTTAGGCACAGACTACTTGACAAACCACGATTATTGATAACTCGTTGAGAATTACAATGCCAGGGGTAAGCTTTGTGCCACGGTAAAAACGTTTGTCTTTTTCCGACTCGTGCCAGCAATCGACAGATTTTCTGTGTGCTCTAAAAATAAAAGAAATTAATTCCGAAGTATATCTATAAAACCAAAATACAGTTTTATGGCAATATCTAAACCTCTACGTTTACTAAATAAGCTTGGTAATGTGTCCTTGTGCAACAAAGCGCCCCCAGTCTTCATGTACATATTTTGCGTAATAATATCTCGCTTATATGTCATGGGCGAGAGCAATCTCTAGAACCATTACATTCCCTGTGGAAAGACCCCCTAATGTCAAACTTAAATAAAAACTCACAGTGCTACGAATTATAAAGATACATGAAAAGTTGCGGTGCGGGAGAATCAAGGTACGGTGAGAAACGACATCAGCACAATGGCAATGATATATTCATGTATTCACATACTGATTAAAGATCGTAGCCGTCGGCAATTCTTATCATCCCATCATAATCTCGGCTTTGTTGAATAGGGCTTTTCGTGTCGTGGTCCTCGTTAGGCTAGCCGCGTATGCTGGTTACGTAAAAAAAAACATTTGTTTCATAGGTGTTAGCGAATGCCTGTTATAAAACGACGGAAGAGGAGCGGTAGGGCTAGATATTATATACTTCATTCCTATGCGGTTAGGTGAGCACGTAATAGGTTCCCAAGGTCTTCTGTCGCTAGCTCAATTGACAGGGGACGCACCGCTAAAGGCGGAGTAAAAGGGATGGGCAATAAAAATAACGTAACAAAAGACTATGAGCGATTTTTTGCGGCTGTACTGTTTTCTCAAGTTGCTTCGTTAGTTTGACTAAACGCTCGGTAGCGTGTTTCGATGGAAACGGTGCGTTCGGGGCACATTCGCCCTAGGAGCTACAAAGAAGAATGTCGAACATTAGAAATCTACACGGCCCGTTACCCACTCAGACTGATAATTAAAAATAGGCTCTTCGAGACATAATACCAAGCTAGAGAAAAATAACAAGACGCATAGGGATTGCTCCTGCTTAAGCAGAATATTAGCAACGTATCAAAAAAGGTACACTTATTATGTCAGGTTTTATCTATTCGGTAACATGTGTGTACTCCAAGCTGTAAAAATGTAGAAAGAGGTTAGATAAGAGAAGAAGTGAAGCATTATTAAATGTCATATATGACATTTCGACACAGTAAAGCTTAGATATACCAGGCCTAACATTGGAGCCCAAAAATAACTAAGTGATGAACTCTAAGTCGTTGGAATATTTCTACCCAAAAAATCAATAACTGCCCGTGCTCAGTATGCAAATATTAGGTTGACGGGCCTATTGCTACGGCTTGGCTTATTTTAGATAGATGCGCTCACGTTAAGACACGGACTCATATAAAACCAGTTCTTTGTAATTCTTGGTGCGCTGCTTATCACTTTCCTCGATATTTGTAGTGCCTATGTAATATCTTCTGTAATATTATTCTTGGTTGATATTAAGTTATAATCTGTAAGAATAATGGTTTAGTAACGATCAACAATGTTATTAACCAACATAAAACCACTGTATGTTGTTCTAGGTAGATTTTTCATTATCCTAATGGCAGTACCTTTCGAAAATCAGTAATACAACATAAGTTCTGAAGGAAATCGTAGCATTATCACACGAAGAACACATTACTCTCGTGAATCTGATGGAGCACATCCTTCAGAGAACTTAAACTGCAAAAGCGTTTACACTCTGTGACAGGTTTTTTTTTTGTGGGAATCTTGTAACTTGCTCGCAATCAATTCTTGTGACTGCCCCACCACAAACGTCGAATGTAGTTAGGAAGTGTCTAAAATATCAAAGTATGCGTGAATTTGTCCTGCGCACAAATATCTGCCGAGCAACATTGCTCAAGATTATCCCATTTCTTTCACTCAGTTTTCACTGCTTCGTGGTGAATCTTAAAACAGCAATAAG